TATGACTAGTTCTTGGAAACCAACTGATATTTACTTAGCTGCTTCCTCAGATCAAGGGCTTTATACTTTGTTACTCATGTAGCAGAATGCTGAAACATGCTGAATTGTAATCTGTGAGGAAAAAACAAGGGCATTGTAGACTGTTCAAGGAAAAATAGAAATTCAATTATAAAATGCACTGAGTTCTGGGAATGTTGGACCACACTTAGTTACCACTGCTGAGTGGTTCTGAGTTAAATGGAACCCCTCATTTTTAAAAACTGCAGAACTGTTTGCTGGAAATAAAGTAAGAACCTAAGATGAAATTTTTGAGAATTTGTTGAATATAAGTAAGTCATCCTTTTTTCTTTCTCTTCTAAATTATGTTAAAATAACACAATTTAAAAAAAAAAGCACCTCAGGATGTTTTTCGAAATTTACTTGGTAGAATGACAAAAGAAAACTTTCCTGGGTGATGTAAACATTCTGATCTTGATTATATTGGTAGTTACACAGGTATATGAATGTGTCAAAACACATGAAACTGTATATTCAAAATTGATGCAGTTTATTCAATAAAAATTGTACCTCAACCAAGTTGATTTGAACAAAACAGTTTACCAGGGTAGATTTCTGATCTCATGGCCTACCATGGAAGTATTTGGATACTTCTTCCTTAAGCCACTAAAACGAGCCTTATAGACTCATTGAAAGTTTCACCCCTTAAGTACTGAAGTGCTTGCAGCCTGCAATTCAACCAGAGCTTAAAGTAGAGGTTACCTTGGAGAAAAGTGAAGGTTACCTTGGAGAAAAGTGAAAGGACATCTATCCAGCACCTTCTCAGATCTGCAGAAGATGCTCTCAATACATGTATATATATATTGTAGTGTTTGAGAATTTCTGTTACAGAAGAGATTTCCTCTTGTCAGTGAACTTCAAGGTAAGCCATGTGGTGGGGAATATCTTATATTCAAGAGGCCTGGAGTGTGGTAAAATGATTCCACTGAAGATAAGGGCAGCAGCTTGTGGATTCCATAGGAAGGAATTTGGAAATTTAGATGCAATAAGCCAAGTGGGTGGAATCAGCCGATGGGGGAAGTTTGTGGGATTCCTGATGGGACCCGGCCACATAACCTTCTAAGTCTACAATAAAGTCTGTAAAGGTTTATAGCAGAGTTGATGGCTTCACTCAGGGTGACCCAGAGTAGACAAGAAGGAGTTGAAAAGGCACAAGAGTCAGACTACCGGGCCCGCTCACAGGGAATTAACAGGCATCTTGCAAGGCTCCAGGATTTGCCTATGATAAATGCCAGGGTCTGCATGCTTCCTACATAAATCTGAAGCACTTATTAGACTTTCTGGTTTATACGATATTATTTTTACAAGGTATGTGTAACAAATTTTTAAAAATTATTTCGATGTAACAAATGAGAAACATAAGGTATCTTAGGGTCAGAGTTGAGAAGGAAGGCAGCATAAAGGCAGGCTTTCAGTCTGTTGAAACCCATATACGCAAAGTATGACTTTACTTCTGTTCTTGTGGATTGTGGGCAAATTCCAAAACATCAAATATTTGTGTAAATACGTATTCTGAAGCCAAAATTTGTGTGAAACTGTGTTTTGGAATAACTTATTATGTGACATTTCTACTTGAGGTGGTTAAAATTTTAAGGATAAATTAAAGCAAAAATTTCAAGTATTACTGTTAAAATGCTGTTATGAAGTTTTTAAACCAATACCATTTTGATTTTCTACTACAATTCTCTTAAGAGTTCTCTACTGTTAAATTCTTAGATGCTTCCTTTCTGCATTTAAGGGATAATTGAGACCAATACTTGGGGCCAGGAGTGACCAGAAAGAAAATCACCTTTCCTTATAAGTACGGAAATCTTTCTACCACCCTATTAAATATAAGCATTGCCTTCCTTACAAACACAAAATTACCGTGCTGTCAGGCAAAGAAAAGAATAATTCTGGTTTTTTCTTCTTTGTTTTTGTTCTCAATTTAGTGTTTGTGAAAAACATTGAAGAACTATACTACTTTTTTTTTTCTGAAAGGATAAATAACTTCAATTAGCCTATAGAAATTGCCCTAGTTTTTTTTTTTTTTTGATGTATAGATTAGGCTATGTCAATTGCTGAATGACTTTTAGAACAAGATTTCTAATCTTCAAGTTGAAACCCATTGATGGCTCATAAAATCAATTTAGTAGGTTGTAATCAGCATGTTTTAAAAATGAAATGATAGAAAATATCAAGAGTTCAGCACACATAGTATTGTTTTGGGAAACATTTTTCAGCTATATATGCACATACCTCTGTGTGTGTGTGTGTGTGTGTGTGAGTGTGAGTGTGAGTGTGAGTACTGGGTTGTAGGATGAAATGCAATTCTCACTGTGGGTTGGAACAACAACAATATTTCTAAATAGTTCATACAAATATTTTAGAAGGTCACCTCGAAGTTTGTAATGACTGAGATAATTGGGCATCCTTCCTATGAAGAAATAGGTAGAAAATTATTGTTGAAATGAGCACTCATATTCACGAATTTCCTTACAATGGTGTTGTATAAGAACATTAGGTTCAGAGACGGCTCTCTTACATCTTTTTCTGAAGTCATTGCCCACTTTTTTTTTTATTCCTTGCTTCCACAACATTTCTTAAAACACTGTATTGATATATTTTCAGGATATTTCAAAAATTAAAATGTCATTGAACTTTTGTGGTTCACATTTTGATGAAATACAAATATTCCATCATTTCTTTCTTATTTTTTATTCCCTTTGCCTGCAATGCTCTGCTTCCAGTTGGTCACACAGACAAGTACTTTGCATAATTCAGATATCATTTCCAATTTGTCCCTTCGAGAAGGGTTTCCTGAACCACCAAATCTAAAAGATATCCCCTCAGTGCATCACAGAAGTATTTTTTTTCTTTTTAGTAACACTGTCACTTCTCTAATTTATCTTGTTTAATATTATATTGGTTTTCTTTATTTTTCTGACTATTCAATCTGAAATCCATCCAAGATTCTCTCCAGAATGTAAGCACCCCTAAAGCAAGGTCCTTGCCTGTCTGTCCACTGCTTGCTTTTTTTTATTTTTTAAAGATTTTATTTATTTATTTGTTTATTTGACAGGGAGAGAGAGCGAGAGCAGGAACACAAGCAGGGGGAGTGGGAGAGGGAGAAGCAGGCTTCCCGCCAAGCAGGGAGCCTGATGTGAGGCTCGATCCCAGGCCCCTGGGATCATGACCTGAGCCGAAGGCAGCTGCTTAACGACTGAGCCACCCAGGAACCCCAACACTGCTTGCTTTAGAAAAGCGTCTGACATAGTCATTCCTCAGCAAATACTTGTTGACTATATGACTGATTTAATTTCAGAAATGATGATAAAAAATTTACTTATTTCTTTATAAAACCTTTCTAAAAGTGAGAATGAGGATAGCTGCAGTGATATAACATTTATAATGAAATCATTTTGACCCAACTTTGCCCTCATTAGGCCTTTATCTGTTTATTTTATGTTTACTCTGAGTAGGAGTGTTCAGATTCCGAACCCTGAATCACTTAGGAAATCATCGAGGGAGGAAAAAAGCTTATTAACAACCTGACCAGCAATGACATTTAAAACTGGAGTCAACTATAACTATCATGGAGGCAATTAAAATACTTGGAGTTTGTAACTAAGGTGGATGCTTTACTATATTACTGTTGCTGTTTTAAGGGTCAGTATGAGCCCTCGGTGTATTAAAACCTATTAATATATGGCTGAAAGATTTTTTTTTTGGTAAGCAAATTAGAAGTAGATGATTACTATCTCTATTATAGGCTGGGTAAACAATATATCTGCTTAAGTGCACTTATTTGAACGGAAAATAGGTAAATATAAAGTATGCTGAAAAGAACTAGGACAAAGGGGCACCTGGGTGGCTCAGTCGTTAAGCGTCTACCTTCGGCTCAGGTCATGATCCCAGGATCCTGGGATCGAGCCCCGCATCGGGCTCCCTGCTCCTCAGGAAGCCTGCTTCTCCCTCTCCCACTCCCCCTGCTTGTGTTCCTGCCCTTGCTATCTCTCTCTCTCTGTCAAATAAATAAATAAAATCTTTAAAAAAAAAAAAAGAACTAGGACAAAGCCCTTGAGCTAAGAAGAAGCTGGTCCTATGTTAAAGGTTAACTACTTCAAAAATAACATTATTTGGGGGAAAATTTTGCCTCTATGCATAATTAAATTTAATCTTAAAAATTTAGAAATATATAACATTTAATAAACTAGGTGCATTTTTAGTAAAATAGTGATATTGATACACTTAGGCTATGATGTGGCTTTCTTAACTAAGATATTATTGTGATTGTGAAGTCACTATTCGAAATAAGCTGCAGTTATTTGGCAGAAAGATCCTATAATAAACATGTTACATCTATTTTAATACCAAGGAACAATTAATAACTTGCAAGTTGGGGCACCTGGGTGGCTCAGTTGGTTAAGCGACTGCCTTCGGCTCAGGTCATGATCCTGGAGTCCCGCATCGGTCTCCCTGCTTGGCAGGGAGTCTGCTTCTCCCTCTGACCCTCACCCTTCTCCTCTCTCTCTCTGTTATTCTCTCTCTCTCAAAAAAAAATTAAAAAAAAAACTTGCAAGTTGAAATTCAGTTTATTTATATACATCCTTCTCCAGATTCTCATTAAGTGCTACCCCTGTTTGTTATGTTTTAACAGATGTATGAAACACCAAAGAGGAAATATGTCAAATCAAATTGTTTATTGTCTGATCTTAAAAGATGATCAAGAAGAATAAATGTCCAATGTTTAAATTCTAGGACCTAAAATAAATATTTCAGAAAGACTCTCATCTTTTGTTGATTGCTAAAATACACCACGTAATGTCACTTCCTCACCACTTAATTCACTGTTAAGAAATAATTTCTTGAAAAGAATTGCTTTGTCTGACAAAGATGGAAGGTCTACTGAAATAGGCATTATATATAACATATATATACAATATTTGTATATATTGTAAACAGTACAATATCACTTTGGCAGCACATATACTAAAATTGGAACGATACAGAGAAGATCAGCATGACTTCTTACATGGATGACACACAATTTTGTGACATGTTCCATATTTTTGGTATACATGAAAGTTAAGGGAGTAAATCCTGAGTTCTTATCACAATGAAAATAATTTTTTGTAACTATATGAGATAATAGATGTTAACTAAACTTGTGGTAATTATTTCATGATATATGTAAATCAAATTATTATGCTATACATCTTAAATATATGCAGTGCTGTATATCAATTACATCTCAATAAAACTGGAAATATAGGTTGATTATGCCACAAAAGCACAAACTGAAAGATAAAAAGAATAATAGCAACAAAATAATGTTAGTCTATTTTGTTGAATGCTGAGCTAGTACCTGGTTCTGAACCAGCTACTTTCTCACAAAAACTCTAGGAAGTACTTATATCAATTATACATCTTCCCAATTTACAGACATAGAAAGTGATAATGTTTTCTTAATTGAACCCATAAACACTTATACTAGAAGTGCATAAATATCAGTGGAAGAACTTTATTTCCAAAACTTGACTGGTGGATACGATGTTTTGCGGGGATAATACACTCTTTCTATTACGGCCACAGAAATACTACTTTGGTGAAAAAGAGAATGATTGATTGATTGATTGATTAACTAGTTATGACAACTCTGTTAACCCTCATGTTCAAATCTATTATCAAGAATTGTCCCGGGGCACCTGGGTGGCTCAGTCAGTTAAGTGGCCAACTTTTGATTTTGGCTCAGGTCATGATCTCAGGGTAATAAGATTGAGCCCCACATCCGGCTCCATGCTGGGTGTGGAGCCTGCTTAAACTTCTCTCTCTCTCTCTGTCTCTCGCTCTGCCCCTCCTCCTGTGTTGCTGCTACAGGTTTCAAAATGTTTGTAAGTAAGAAAGAGTGCCCTTGATAAATGCAGTGTTTTACTCTGTCAAAATGTAACAAAACTTTAATAAGTGACAATGGCTAAAGCACAATTAAACATTTTAAGGGCATGGTCTTCGGGTTTTTAACTCCATTATGCCCATTTTAGTTGCCTTCAAATAGCAGGGAATGAGGTCTTCAAAAGGATCCTAGAAGGTTCTATGTCTATGGTTAAATGCATTTTCCAAAAGATACTCAACAACTGATATTTGTTTATTCTGCTAAGGATCCACACATTACAAATCTAAAGCTAAGTGGCCATTGTCATATTACTCTTGATTTCCATCCTTACAATGAACAAAATAGTGACTGGGGGGCAAGGAGATTTCCAGTTCATAGCTGAATACTAAGAATCACAGAGAAACTTGGTAATATAAGATCTGAGGTAGATTAGTGAAGCAAAAGACCCATAATTGTCATACTAATAACACTCAAATACACGCCTTTCAAAAAAAGGAACAACAAATATTATTAAATATTTTTGACCCTTGAAATGTATGGTATTGCTCTATATAACTCATATATTTACAAGTATATTCTACTCCCCTGGCGGCAGTGATTGGTTCAAAGATGGTCCAATCAGAGGGAAAAATAGATTTATTTATTGGTTGTAGGAAACAGTCTCTTCCTGTATTAAAAAAGAAAGCTATGTAACCCAGGTGCAGCAAACATTTCTGTCTATCAAAAGGGAATCTGGCTAACAGGTGAAACTGCTACAGAGGAGGGGAGAAAAAAATTGCTGAAAAATTGGTTAGGATCACTGGTCAAACCACGTCTGGAGACAGATTAGTTTTAGACTTTTCAGTTGTGTTCAGCTACCCTATTTAATTTGCATTGGATTTTTTTTATCACTCACCACTAAAAATGATTTGGCCTAGTAGTCACCATATCTATTAAAATGATATTTATAGAATCTCCCTCAACTTTGATATGAAGATTATTACTCTAACTTACTTCTGGCACTCAATATATTACTATCTCCATATTCTTTAGTAAGCCTTTCCCTAAAGACACCGGGGTGTCCTGCAACAATCTGTTCCATTTTTTTTTTTTTAATCCTTAGGGAGTTTGTAGCCATTATGATTGAGGCAAGGGAGAGAAGTATTGCATATTGATTTAATGTGATTTAATGTGATCAGCCTTTGCTCAAAAAGAAAATGTTATTGAAAGTAGAAACATTTTCAAGCTAGCCCACAAAAACACCCTCAGTCCTCAAATACTTGGGTTGCCTTTCTTACGCTCCTGCTTCTTATGCCTATGCTCTTAGGGATATTTATATTGGAACTAAACCACACAGCAACTTGACTAGCCTTTGAGAGTTACCTAAACTATTTATACAATCTGCTCATAGAAAATTAAGTTCTGTGTTTCAAAAAAACAGAGTTACTAAAAAATAGATCAATAAGTCTATCTAAAAATATTTTGTAGCTAAAACTAAAATTGATTAAAATGAATAAAGAAGTACTGAGAATGGACTAATATACATATTTTTTTAGGAGAAGGAGGGGAGCTGGAGAGAGGCAGAGGGAGAATCCCAAGCAGGCTTTATGCCCGGCACAGAGCCCGATGTAGGGCTCGATCTCAGGACCCTGATATCATGACCTGAGCCGACATCTAGAGTCTGCAGGCACTTAACCGACTGAGCCACCAGGCACCCCATACATAATGCTTATTTAATTCTACTTTCATAAATTGGTGTTTAGGCTGTCTGAGGAAACTCTAAAATAAAACACAAGTTTATGTACATTTCTACATGTATGTGTACATACACATGTATTTACACCCAAATCTCTGAAGGTAAAGCCCATAGTACTTGCCAGATTTTCAAAGGTTCTAGTATCTAAGAAACATTAAAGATCAAGGGCATAAAACTCAATTTTCATAAGTTCCCTTTTTTTCTTAGAAGTACTACAGTCTATTACATCAGTCTCTAAATAGGAACAAATATTTGGTAGTTCACAAAATCAAACTTCATGTATAGTAATGTGGTTAACAGAGAACGTTCTGGAGTCTGTCTCCTAAGGTTTGAATTTTAGGTCTGCCACAAGTGACCACAGACAAATACTAACTTCTAATTCTATCCTTTTACTTTTTTGTAAATTGGGAAATTTATAGTGCTTACCTTTTAAGTTTATTGTGAGGAATATGGAGAAAATTCATGTAATACATTTAGAATATTGCTTAGTACAAAATGTTTATAAATGAGTTCTTACTATAATACTTTTCTTTTCAGGGGGGAGCACTTGTACAGTTACATATATATGTATATATATATATATACACACACACACATACACATGCACACAATACATATATATGGATTGTGTGTTTATTTATTTTAAAATTGACCTGGATTGTATATTTCTCCAAGATACTAAAACATATATAGAATTTGATATCTTAGATAGAAATTGATATCCTTTATGTCACTCTTAAATGATAAAAATAGTATATGTTTTAAGAATATATATATTTACCCTTTCAATTCACTATGTTTTTATCCTTTGGATAAATATCTAGTAGTGTAATTGCTGGGTCATAGGGTAACTGTATTTTTAACTTTTTGAGGAACCTCCATACTGTTTTCCAGAGTGGCTGCACCAGTTTGCATTCCCACCAACAGTGTAAGAAGGTCCCCTTTCTCCACATCCTCGCCAACATCTGTTGTTTCCTGGGTTGTTAATTTTAGCTATTTTGACTGGTGTGAGGTGGTATCTCATTGTGGTTTTGATTTGTATTTCCCTGATGCCGAGCGATGTTGAGCACTTTTTCATGTGTCTGTTGGCCATTTGGATGTCTTCTTTGGAGAAATGTCTGTTCATATCTTCTGCCCATTTCTTGACTGGGTTTTTGGATAAATAAGATGTGGTAGATCTACAATGGAATATTAGGCAGCCATCAAAAAGAATGAAATCTCGCCATTTGCAATGACGTGGATGAAACTAGAGGGCGTTATGCTAAGTAAGATAAGTCAGTCAGAGAAAGACAAAGACCATATAATTTCATTCATATGTGGATTTCAAGAAACAAAACAGAGGATCATAGGGGAAGGGAGGGAAAGATAAAATAAGATGAAATCAGAGAGGGAAACAAATAATAAGAGACCCTTAACTCTAGGAAACAAACGGAGGATTGCTGGAGGGGAGGTGGCTTGGGAGAAGGGATAACTGGGTAATGGGTATTAAGGAGGGCACACGATGTGATGAGCACTGGGTGTTACATGCAACTGATGAATCACTAAACTCTACCTCTGAAACTAGTAATACACTATATATTAACTAACTTGAATTTAAATAGTTTTTAAAAAAAGAATATATATATTCACACACACATATCTGTAGTTAAAATTAATAACCCCATCTTTCTTTCTCTCCCATTGTAAGGAAAAATCTCAGTTCAATCTTCTTCATGTGTGTTTCCTTTACTACTCATAAGAACACTTCATTTCTTGCACTTCTGCACCACCAAATGTGTTGGTCTTTTTTCCCCAAAAGTGATTGTCTGAGACATTGGCTGGGTGTCCTATAATTTAAGTCAATTTTAACAGTACCTGGAGATGGTGTCAAATCCCACAAGTTAATGGCTCCGTCTCACAAGACTGCCCACCTCCCCCAACTTCAGATGCCAGTCACAAGGAGTAGATCCTCAGGTTGCTCACAACTTCTCTCTGATTTGGCTACAAATCGGAGGTTCTCATGACCCTGTCCTCGGCTTCAATTGAGTTGTTAGAGTGGCCCAGAGAACTCAGGGAAATTCTTATGTTTACCAGTTTAGTGAAGGATATGAAAGGATAGAGATGAAGAGACACATAGAGTGAGGTCGGGAGGGTCCTGTAGAGTTGGGGTAGGCTATTCTCAATGTGGATGTGTTCTCCAGCCAAGAAGCAATTCGAGCACATTGGGATTTTATGGAGGCTTCTTCACATTATTACACTGCATTAAATTGTTAATTATTTAATTTAAATAAGTCTTTATAACCCCTTGGGATATTTAATTGGTTATAAGGACTGCTTTTTTGGCTGGGTTTTAGTTATAGTTAGAATTTTAAAAAATCTGGGGATATTGGGGCACCTGGGTGGTTCAGTCAGTTAAGCATCTGCCTTCCTTTGGCACAGATCATGATCCTGGGGTCCTGGGGTCGAG